GTCCTTGTTTGCCCTGGTGACAGCCAGCGTGGCTGCAGGTGCCCGCTCAGCCTCTGGCACACCTGGCGGCCTCGGGGCGGGAGCAGGAGGCATGGCCAGGGCAGAGCTTTTCTGGGAACTGCTGTGCAGGTAAACATTCTGCTTTCCTTACCAAGATTCATTTTTTCCAAGGAAAGAGCTGATAAAGCCCTGGGTTTCCTTACAGTTGGGTTACAATGGTTACTGCAAATCTCCCACTTGACTACAAAAAACCACTCTGCTCTTAACTGGGAAATGTGCTCTAAGTGCATAAGGGGCAGCACCTCAAACTTGCTGGGATCTGAAAGGCATCAGGAGGAGTCATGAAGTGAAGCAGATGTGTTCTGCCTGCCAGGCAGGCCAAGGACAGTGGTCAGCAGCTGTGGGACCCTGAGCAGTGACTCCCTGCCCTGCCTCTGCTCTCAGCTGCCCGGGGCAGCGTTCCTGCCCAGCAGAATCCCACCCCATCCACCCCCACGCCGTGCAGAGGGCTTTCCCTCCTGCCCAGGGCTCTGCTCCTCGCGTGCTTGCAGGGCTGGTGCTGGGAAGGCTCCCCTTGAGCTCTGGGGAGGATGGGGGCAAAGGCAGGAGCAGCCCCCACGGGAGCTGGCTGACAGCAGGGGACAGGATTTGGGGTTCAGGGCTCACTGCTGTCACTCCTGACAATGTTGGCTCTGGAGACGAGTCAGCAGAGGGACATGGGGACTCAGCAGCTTCTCCACGGCTGCAATTGCATGTCAAGTCAAAAAGCAGGGAAATAGAAAGGGAAATTTTGGGCAGATTCTTGGTAAGGATGCCTGTCCCCGAGTCCTTATGGCTTTGAGGTCGCTAAAAATGCTGATACTTTGCCTTCCCAGTGATAAAAATGAAAACGATCTTTTCCCCACAGAAGGGCAGGCAGCGAAGCAGATGGAATCAAGAAGAATTACAGCTCAGTGTTAGCCAGAAGGAGCAGCTGAGACTAATCAGCTTCCATTTAAAAGTATAGCATTCCCACTAAGCTCTTGTTGCTGCTGGCTTTATATTCTTATTCCTATTAATCACTGCTATTATGAATTTGAATGGATGACAGCTCTAAGAAGATCTTTGGGGAACCAGGATCAGGGATGCTCTGGATGAGGTGCTGTATGAAGACATCTGCAAACCAGGGCTCTTCATCCATGAGGATAAACAAAGACTTCAGGAAAATTGGTTTCAGGAGAGAAAGCTGGGAGATAAATGGGTGTATCTAGAAGAAAAGGTACAAATTTTGATTTCTGAAATTTCTGAGAAAAGACTATGAAAATGCTACTATTGTGGCTAAAAAGAAAACCCATTTCAAAATGGCAATTTCAGTCTTTTGTTGTATAATGTTGTGTAAAGTGCCTAATGTAGCATTTGAAGAGTATCAGGAGATAATTTCTAATATTTTGTGTTGTGAAAAGATACAGGATTTGGGTGTGTTTCACACTGATTTGAAATAATAACAGGTTCTGCAGCCCTGGTGTTTCCCATGGGACGAAAGTTGGTTTTGTTGGCTGTAGCATAGCAGGATGCAGAAGGAGGAGGATGAGTTCTGGGCAGAAGCCAGAGGAGGGCTGGCAGGGCTCGGGCAGGCTGTGCCCAGCTGGGGATGGCACAGCAGGAGCAGCCTGTGCTGGCCAGGGGCAGCCCTTGGGACACGGCAGGACGGAGATTTGGGAGGTGTGTATTCGACAGAGCCTCAGTAACCATCCCTGGTCAGCCCTGCCAGTGGATTTTGGGAAATAATAACGCTGGGCTTTTGTCCACAGCAGGCAGCAGAGATAAGGATGGGTCAGTACATCACAGTCACATGATGGAGAGATGATAAGGTGCTCTGAAAAAGGCAATTCATGAGTTGGGGCCACGGGAGGCCTGGATGAAAGATTGTTGAGATACTGGAACAAGACATTGTCCTGCACACCAAAGGACTTCATGTTATAAATTTAATTAAGATAATCTACCTTATTTTAAAAGGAATTTATTAAATCCCTGAGATAGACAGAAATATGTATTTTGTGCAGTTGCTGTATTGATCTCCTGCTCAGCCCATTAGTGGTGACAGTGAGGAGCAGGAATTCCTAAGGCTGAGCAGAAAGTTGGACTGGAATTCCTAAGGCTGTACAGAAAGTGGGACTGGATATTTCACTTTCAGAGCCCATGGAAAAGATCTTGCCATGTGAGGAAATGCCTGAAAATTCAGAGAGGATATTTCTTATTTGTTTTTTCTTGAGCGTGGTAGCTACATTTGAGCAGTCATGTTCCCATCAAAAGAATATTCTTGAAATCCATTGTAAACTCTTGCTTTTGGTCAGCAGTCATAGAATATTTCTGGCTTTCCCTGGTCTTACTCAAATGTGGAACAGAGAAATGCTTCACTGAGTTTGTAGGGAAGTTTGTGAAAGTGATTACTGGAAAATCTGGAAAAAGCTAGATCTCATCTCTTCTAGGAAGATGCCAATTAACAATAAAAGAAACCACAAATAAAAGTTCTTAAGTGTTGAAAGAGGAGACCTTAAAAGAGCATTGCCATTTGTCCCCAGTCTTTCCTATGCTGAAGAAGAGATGAAATAGAAAAGTTTTCCTTTTATTTTCCAAATATAATAATACAATAAAAATAGGTCATGCCACTCAGTCTGAAACAGGCCACGATTTCAAAAAAATCAGTGCTTCTAATTTGTGTATTTCTTGTGGGTTTTATCACTCAACACCCACTCTCCCTAATTATATACACCTCAAATCAAAACTGAAGAATAGCTTGCTTATTAAAGTCTGTCAGTGCTGTTAGGAAACATGTCAGTGCCACACATTTTGTAGCTGGCTTGCCTCGTCAGCAGCCCTGGCAGCCCAGCCCGTGGTGCCCTGTGCCAGGCTGTGCTGGGTGGGATGGAACAGCCCTTGGTGCCCTGTGCCAGGCTGTGCTGGGTGGGATGGAGCAGCTCTGCCCTGTGCCAGGCTGTGCTGGGTGCATTGGGCCAGCAGGGCTGAGCAGGGGCACTGGGATCACAGCCCTGCCCTGTGCCAGGCTGTGCTGGGTGGGATGGAACAGCCCTTGGTGCCCTGTGCCAGGCTGTGCTGGGTGGATTGGGGCAGCCCTTGGTGCCCTGTGCCAGGCTGTGCTGGGTGCATTGGGGCAGCAGGGCAGAGCAGGGGCACTGGGATCACAGCCCTGCTCCTCTCCTCACCTGCCCTCGGTGCAGCCAGCAGTTACCTGTAGCTCACCTTTTTCTGCTGCTGCCTTTCACCTTTTCCCCTTGTTCTTATGCATGCTCTTTCATACTTGTCATGGAGGAATATTGGGATGGAAAACTTTTATCTCTTCCAATATTGGATTTTGTGTGACAATGTTATTGCTGTGCTGCACAGCCTAATTTCCTCCTCCCTGGACATACCTTTATTGCTGAGTTATTACCCAGGTAAATTTCCTCTCTGTCACTCTGCCATTTGACACAAGGTGATTAGTTTAATAACTGGGGTTGTTTTTCAGAAGCTCCTGGAAAGGGTTGATGGACAGAGGTGCCTCCCACAAGTGGTGTGCAGTGTAGCTTTATTATAACTGCATTTCACTCCTTGGCACTTGTGTTGAACCTCGGATACAATTCCTCAGGCTGGGATATATTGCCCAGGAAAAACAAATAGCAACAAAGAAGCAAAGAGACTATTCCCTAAAGCTGAGCAAATACAGACCAAAAAAAAAAAAAAAGCTAATATTAATTTGATTTAAAAAATAAATTAGCTTTAGTTGTTTTTTCATCCCCTTTGGCATTTGTTTCCCAGAACTCTGCATCCCATCAGATTATACTGGTGTGAATGTTCTCAGAAAGCTCATTTTTAGCTAGTATGCTGAATTATTTGTATGACCCCCAGGGATCAGTTCCTTGTAATTACACAAATAAAGTACTTGCCTTACTCGTAGCTACAGACTGTAACTGGTGCAGTGGGCAGCTGGTGATGCACACGAGCCATGTTTTCCTGGTTAGTGGTGCCCAGCAGCTCCTCCCTCTGATCTCCCCTCGGGCACTCCTTTGGCAGGGCAGGGAGAAGCTCCCTGGTGCCAAGTGCCTGGTCTGTAAACCCACGGGAGCGCCCCGCTGCTGCTGGAGCCCAGTTCCCTTCTGATGGACAGAAAAATACAAAGTGCAGGTTTAGCAAAGTAGCAGGAGGGGGTGAGGAGAGGCAAGCACTGGGGATATTTCAGGGCACTTGATGGTTTAAAACCCAGTAGATCAAGAGCCTGGAGGCTCACCTTGCCCTCAGTGTGCAGCAGGGCTTGGTGGGGCCAGCTGAGACAGGAAAGGTCTGTACAATAAACAGTCATGGTGCAAGAGGAGTTCTGGGGTTTTAATCTGTGCTGGGCAGTGAATTCCTCGTCAGCCTTGGGCAAAGCATGGCAGAGCTGGGTTTTCATTGTCTGCTTTGTGCAAGTGCTCTGTGGGGAGAACACCTGAGCACTGGGAGCTGCTGCTGCTGGCGGGTTCTGGGTTCTGTGTTTTCTGTTCTGGGTTCTGTGTTTTCTGTTCTGGGTTCTGTGCTCTGGGTTCTGTGTTTTCTGTTCTGTGCTCTGGGTTCTGGGTTCTGTGCTCTGTGTTTTCTGTTCTGTGTTTTGGGTTCTGTGCTCTGGGTTCTGTGCTCTGTGTCTGACACCGAGGTGCAGCCCTGGGCAGCCAGGTGTGCTGCTGGACCTGAGAGCACATCCCTGCAGCACTGTCAGCAGCTGCTGCTGCACCTGAACTGTGCTTCAGCCCCACGGATTTACTTCTTGAACGCAGTTCTGAACACTGCATCATTGCTGCATGCTCTGCCCTGCTCAGCTCCCCTGATTTCCTGCTGCCTCTGGTGAATATTTGTCATCTTTATCACATTTATTTTTGATCTGGAGTTTCTTAGGCATGCAAGAAGTAGATCCTTCTTGCATGCCTGGGATATGCCCAGCATATCCAGAAAACTAAAAGTAAATGAACAACCACAGTATTGTAAAGGTGTCTGGCAATGAAAGGCTGATTTATTTATGTGCTGTGGTAGAAGGTAGCCCAGTAATGGATTAAGACTTACAAAGGGGTAATAAAACCAACTTAATTTAAATAGTTTTTTTTATATATAGCAGTGAGAATGGAAATGGGGGGGTTTGAAGGGTTTAAACCTGTTGTGCTTTGCATCTCTGTGTGCTGTGCTGTAAGAGTAGGTTATTAGTAAATCACTGACACATATGCATATTTTAGAGGTATCATATTTAAACCCCAATGATGAACTAGTCTATACATCACTCAATTCTTGGGTTATAAGCCTTTTTTTACATAAATCACATTATTTAAAAATACAGAAATCATTTTCCTGTCGGCAGAAGTAATTCAGCCCTTTGCATTCTTGCATCAGACTGACTGCAGCTGCTGGGAGCAGGAAAGGTGAATCTCTGTGCACACTTCAATATGTAAATGTGATTGCACTCAGATATTATTGGGTAGCCCTCACTTCAGAGCAGAGTGCAAACATTCATTATCCTAACAGGTGTGATCACTGCTGTCTGCCAGGGGAGGGAATTGCCCTTCCCATTACCAGATTCTGTTCTAGTTTACTCTGTCCTGTATCCAAATACAAGGTTTTAAATATATCCCTTTTCTTTCTCAGGCTGAAATTTGTGGGAAAGTTCCAGCTCTTTTCACTGCAGTTATTTACAATAATTAGACTCGGAAAACACTTCATTTGTCCATTAAGTCAGAGACTTGGTATGGGACTTTGTTAAGTCTCCATAATACCTTAGACAACAAGTTTTCATCTGCTCTGAGTTCAGTTGGTACTTTTGCCCTTGCTGTGGGGGAAAAAAAAAAGTAGAGTTTGACTTTGGCATGAGCTTCTGTAAATCTCTCTTAGCAGATATCCAATAAAAACATATTAGGATTTGGCAGGTAGGTTTTTCCCCAAATGAGTTTGCTTTCAGCAGTAGAGCTAGGCGGAATGTTTTATTTTTTTCCCCTGGGACACTTGTGGAAAAGACAAGAGAATGGCAGCAGTGAGGCAGAGGAGAGCAGCAGTGGGGAGTGGAAGCAGAAGGTGGAGGGAGGCTGCTGGGGCAGAACAGTTCCACCTCACAAACGTGCTTCTCCCTTCCCATGGCAGCTCTCCTCAGCCGAAATGGGGTTTTTTGGTCTGGAAAGCAGCTGACTAAATGCTTTTCTCCTGCTTTCTGCTCCCTTGCATGGATGAGAAGCAGCACCCCGGGTTGCTGCCCTCCCACAAGCCCAACAGCAGGGTGAGGGCTTGGGGTCCCCAGGTGCCCAGCCAGGTCCCCGTGGGTCAGCCAGGTCCCCGTGGGTCAGCCAGGTCCCCGTGGGTCAGCCAGGTCCCCGTGGGTCAGGCAGGTCCCTGTGGGTCAGGCAGGTCCCCGTGGGTCAGGCAGGTCCCCGTGGGTCAGGCAGGTCCCTGTGGGTCAGGCAGGTTCCTCTGGGTCAGGCAGGTCCCTGTGGGTCAGCCAGGCTGCTGATCTGGTGTGATCAGCTGATCTGGGACCCCTGCTCCGGCTGCTCATGGCACAGCAGAGGAGGAAGGGCAGGCTCTGCCAGGAGTGCTCATGGCACAGCAGAAGAAGGGCAGGCTCTGCCAGGAGTGTCTGTGGCTCACCAGAAGAAGGGCAGGCTCTGCCAGGAGTGCCTGTGGCTCACCAGAAGAAGGGCAGGCTCTGCCAGGAGTGTCTGTGGCACAGCAGAGGAAGGGCAGGCTCTGCCAGGAGTGCCTGTGGCTCACCAGAAGAAGGGCAGGCTCTGCCAGGAGTGTCTGTGGCTCACCAGAAGAAGGGCAGGCTCTGCCAGGAGTGCTCATGGCACAGCAGAAGAAGGGCAGGCTCTGCCAGGAGTGCTCATGGCACAGCAGAAGAAGGACAGGCTCTGCCAGGAATGCTCATGGCACAGCAGAAGAAGGGCAGGCTCTGCCAGGAGTGCCCCCTGTCCCCAGCGCTGCAGCAGCCCCAGGAAGGGAGGGCAGCCTGGCCCTGGCAGCTTCACCTCTCTCCCTAGTGTGGATGTTTTGGTTGTCTCATTAAGCTCTTGGAGAATGCAGATTTGTCAGTGGCAGCTGTGGGAGCTTGATGGTGGAAGAACAAAGTGGGAATTCATCATGTGCATATAATTGTAAAGAGGAGGATTTTTTTAGTGGGAGATGAGCGGCAGTGCAGAGTAATAATCATCTTAAAGGGTGACTCTCTAGAATTAGTTGTTATTTTGTTTGAGTCCTTTGAAATGGGTTCCATACTATATAATTATCTTAAATTTTAAGTGCTTCCTGCAGTGATAATGTGTGCATTTTTGCATTCTTATGTAAATGCTTTAGCAGTTCCCAGAGTCAAATTGGAAATGCCATTCAGAAACAGGTAACAGCTTTGCAAAATGTAGGGGAAGAAATGAATCTTGTTCTTCCTCATCATTTTCCAGTTTGCATTCTGGGCTTTCCTGGCTGTGTTTGCAGCTCTGCCAGCAGCTGCTTTTCAATGACATCCAGTGCTGGGAGACACTGAAATGAAGAGCTGAATCTCACCAGCAGGAGCTCAAAAAGACAAGAGACCAGCAGACAAACTGTTATTACCTGCAGAAAGAAAATAATTAGTTTGTAGACCAAATTAATCCTTGGCAAAGCCACCTAGGACTAATTCTAAGAAGATTGCACTGCAATGACAGTGCAGGAATCCCTGCTAAGGTGGTAATTTTGGGTGGTGTTGCTGTGAACTCGAGCAGCTGCCCCCCTGGGCACTGTGGTGGGGCAGGATCAGTGCAGCCGTGCCCCGACAGCGGAATGGGGATCGGGCAGTGGGAGATGGGAGATGGGTGATCACCTTTCCTGATGGACAGACCTTTGTACCCAGCTGCAGCTGCCTCCTCTGCTGCAGGCAGCCGTGGCTTCCCACGGACAGCCACAGCTCAGGGCAGGGCTGATCCAGGGCACTCCAGGTACCCCCAGAAAGAATCCAGCAGCAGCTGTCAGAGTGACCTGGGACCTCCTTTCAGATTCCTCCTTGTGCCACAGGACCCAGCCCCTGGTAATCTCCTGCCAGCTCTTGTTTCAGCTGTGCTCCAGACTTTCTGAGGCACAGGTACAAGGCTTAGTTCTCAAATCAAAGTGCCCACATCAGTCACCTTCTTGTCTGATTCAGGGACAAAGATTTCACTCAAACCCTCCTAAATCCTTTCAGGGAGCTCCCTGTCTGTTCAACAGGTACCACTGTCAGGGAAGGGATGGGGATGGGGATGGGGATGGGGATGGGGATGGGGATGGGGATGGGGATGGGGATGGGGATGGGGATGGGGATGGGGATGGGGATGGAAAGGGTTCTTTGACTCAGATTCTCAGGAAGCCTGAGAGACTTGCTGGAGCAGATGTCCAAGTCAGGTAGTGGTCATACCTGTTTCAATTCAGTGTTTTTCTAATTTTTTCCCCGTGAGAGAACTCAGAATAGCTCTCCTGTTGAAATGTTGTAACACAGAGATCTGCAGTGTTTGATTCACGGAGCAAGTGTCCCACAGCACTCCCAGAAATCTGTGATTGCAGTCCAGGCTATCTTAGGTTAGGGTTTTAAATTGCACCTCCCAGAGACATTTGGGTGTCTTCCAAGTTTAAATTAGGTTTGCAAGTGTTTTACCAGGGACCTGTTTCTCCTCTGCTGCTTAGACAACAGCAGCATGGTGTCTCCCAAAAGTCTGGCTCCAGAGTAATCTTGTACACAGCCCAGGGGCAGCAGGGAGTCATAAAGCAGCCAAGTGACAGGCCTCTGCAAGGTCCCTATCACTGTGGGAGAAAGAAACCAGAGCTCTGTCAACTTATCTGTGTGCCCAGGCTGCCTCTTGGAAGGACAGGGCTGTTTCTTGCCTTCACTGGCTCGCTGGAGGCCTGTTAAGAGGACATGCAAGTGCTGGAAAACTTTCCCAAAACTTAAAATGCTTACAAGATGTGCATATGTGATTTACAGGGAGAAATTTAGCCTGTTCTCTGCATGTGTCCCTTTGTAGTGGGGCCTTCACCTGCTGAAGCAAATGTGTTCTACCAGTCAGCATCAGCAAAGGGCCACTCTTGTATCCCATCTCCCCTGTGTAATCCCTTATTACCTTGTTACTAAAGGCTTTGAAATCTCTCAGCTCTCACAATGAGCCTGCCATCGCTAATACAAACATCCCTCTGAGATCCCCTCAGCAGCATATGGTCAATACAGCATTTGGGGAGCTGTGAGGGTGCACAAGTTCCAGAGCATCACTGCTCTGTAGCAAGAAGCAGGTTTGGCTGCCAGTAATGCCCTGGCACTGTCAGCCTGCTGAGGTTTGAAAAACATCCACCCATGGCATGCATGAATGAGCAGATTTCAGTAAATCAAGCTCATTTGAAAAGATCTCATTATCATTTGGTCAGGCAGAGGTGCTGGTTTGGTCAGGATGGAGCTAAGCAGTTCCTTGAACCCGTGACATTCACATTATTATTATTATTAAGCTCAGTTTTTATATTTACACTTTGTATTAAGCGAGCTGAATTAATAGTGACAAATATCAAATATCCTAGGTTTCTTAAAGCAAGAGGTCTGTGTGTCTTTGCAGGCTGCCTGAACATGAGGAGCTAACCAAAATGCAGAGAAGGCATGGGTAGTATTTGCCTTGGTTAAAAGGCATTTTGGATCAGGCGCTGAAGGAGTCACTGCTTTTGCTGAGTGTAATGTCCTGCTTACATTTCCCAGCACTGACATTACCCACATTACAATTATGCTTGCAATGTCATGCTTCAGAATAAAAGCCTAATATTAGGCTGATATTAATTAATAGGCCTGTTAGCTTGTGTTATTTTATAGTATGTAATGCCAGTCTAAAAACTCTCCTGCAGGTATTACTTTACAAAGCCTTCCGGGGTTCCCAAAATAGGTTTGGCAGTGTTGCTGCAGGGGAGGCAGTGCCCAGGGCAGTGTGGGGACAGCACGAGGCTGGGCACTGCTGGGCTGCCAGGAGGAGGGACAGAGCTGTGCTGGGCACCAGGAATGGCTGAGCCAGAGCACCAGGAATGGGCTCCTGGAATGGGCACCAGGAATGGCTGAGCCAGAGCACCAGGAATGGGCACCGGGAATGGCTGAGCCCGAGAACCAGGAATGGACACCAGGAATGGCTGTGCCAGAGCTGCAGGAATGACACCCACAGAGCAGAGGCAGCGGGCAGGGCTGGCTCTGGCTGTCCTGTGGAACACCCTCAGCTAGCAGGCAGGCAGGCAGGAGCCTGTGTGATGCAGTGTGCCATTATTCCCCCTCCTGCAGCTCCTGCTGCTATTTATCTTCCTCTTGCAGCCTCTCCCCGTCACCGAGCAGAGGCAATTGCTGGTGTGCAGAAAAAGAGCTCGTTCAGCAGCAGCTGAGCTCTTCACCTGCTGCAGACCCATCCTCCTTCTCCAGCATCAGCACACGCTGCTGGGGCAGGGAGGGCAGGCTGGGCACACTGTGCTGGGAGAGCCCTGCCTGCTCCAGTTTGCCATCAGGAGCACAGGATGGCAGGGAGCAGGGAGCAGGGAGGGGATCCCTGTCCCGGCCAGGCTGCAGGCTGGCACAGGCAGGCTGGCACAGGCAGGCTGGCACACACGGCAGCCCCTCTGTGCAGCCCCTCTGTGCAGCCCCTCTGTGCAGCCCCTCTGTGCAGCCCCTCTGTGCAGCCCCTGCCAGCTCTGCCAGCTCTGCCCCCGCAGCAGGGCTGCCGCAGCACCGTCCCCTCCTGCTCTGGTCCTGCTCCTTCAGCTGCTCTTCCCAAACAGGAAAAGCTCTGTCTGCCGCCCTCATTTTCCATAGAACTTAGCAGCATCCACCCCAAAAGGGGTTATTGTAATGAAGCTTGTAATTAAGCAGAGAGATTTAGAGCAGGCTGGGCCGTGCCAGGCTGGGCTGGGCCGTGCCAGGCTGGGCTGTGCTGTGCTGTGCTGTGCTGTGCTGTGCTGTGCTGTGCTGTGCTGTGCCATGCTGGGCTGGGCTGGGCCGTGCCAGGCTGGACTGTGCTGTGCTGTGCTGTGCCATGCTGGGCTGGGCTGGGCCGTGCCAGGCTGGACTGTGCTGTGCTGTGCTGTGCCATGCTGGGCTGGGCTGGGCCGTGCCAGGCTGGACTGTGCTGTGCTGTGCTGTGCCATGCTGGGCTGGGCTGGGCCGTGCCAGGCTGGACTGTGCTGTGCTGTGCTGTGCTGTGCTGTGCTGTGCTGTGCTGTGCTGTGCTGTGCTGTGCCATGCTGGGCTGGGACTCTGCTCCCTGTGCTCCCTCAGGTGCCACTGCCACGTCCAGCCAGTGCCAGGGGGCTCAGAGCTGGGCCCTTGGAACACAGGCATGAAGGGCTGTCTGGGACTGAGAGCAGCAGATGATCCCCACACTCTCAAGGGATTGTTTCCCAGCCTAGGTCTGTTCTTTATTAAAAAGCACACACTTAAATGACACCCTTAAGTTGAGGACATTCTGCTCAACAGCTGTGTTGGAGAGATTTGACAATAGCAGGATTTGATGTCAATTATAACTGCTAGAAATCTGATTGCAGTGTCTGGCAGGTTATCTGTGTAATAATGGGTTTGTTATAAAATAGGTTCTTAGCATCTTTGGGGCTCTCTGCTTTAGTTCTGGGGAAGAAAGCTGTTCAAGCTGCTTTTTGCATCTTTCCCCCTTCCTTTAGTATTTAAGCTTGGGTACACTGACTAATCAGAGGGTCAGAAATACCATAACATTGGGCTATATTTATCAGAGACACGACTGAAAAGATAAAGAACTTTTCTACAAATGCACAATAGTGAGGTTGGGCAACAAAGTCCATTTTACTTTGTGACAAGACAAATGACTGAAAATACCTTACCTTTGTTATGCAACTCAGTGGTGCAACCTCATCTTAAATGTTGTGTTTCAGTTCTGGAAATGATAGAGGGGAAAAAAAGAAAGAATTCAGTGAAGGGTAGTGAAAATGATTAAAGGCATTGAGAAGCTTTCATATTAGAAGAGATTTTAAAAGATTAGGCCTGCTTAGTTAAGGCAAGAGATGAATAAGCAGAGGCAGGATGGAGAGATGTGGGGTAATGAATGGCACAGAATAGGCACGCTGAGTACTTTTATGTGCTGTTTTCCAAAATTAAAAGCTGAGAGTAGAAAGCTGTAAAAAAAAAAAAAAAAAAAAAACCAAGAAGTGTGCTCATGATAAAAAACAACAGCAGACACATTTTAGATATGTTTTCCACAGTGCTGGATTCACCTGTGGAAGCCGCTGTGGCAGGGAACAGAGATAATGAGCTTAGGAGAATTATGAAAAGGAAACAGAGAGCCTGCTGAGAGGAAAAGGGAGTTCTCTGGTAGTTTCCAGTGGGAGCACGATCCAGCAGCTGGCACAGCCCCAGGGCTGCTGGAATGATGCTCCAGCTGCAGTGGGCTCGGGGTGTTTGGTGCACACTGATACCTGCACACACAGGGAGCTGCTGCAGCTGCCTGTGCTGCTTTGGGTGACCCGAGTGCTCCTCCTAAAGCTGCAGAAACCAAAAGAGGCATTAAAAATTAGGCAAGCATTAGAAAGTATTGAAATAAGCTTGGTCATTTAGGTAATGGCAGAGGTTTCTCTCTACAATGATTCCAGCATCATCAGAAGTAAACATGATGCAGAAGAGAAGAATTTGGGGTAAAGTGGATCTTCTGTCCAAGAGGAGAATTTGGGGTAAAGTGGATCTTCTGTTCTTCTTCACAGCAAGTAAATTCTATGTCAAAACTCACTGGGATGGATGTGACAGGACCTGTGTTTGACATCTCTGAAGTGGACTCCTGGGCATCTTGCAGAAGTTTTAAGCCCCATTACAGTTTTTTTTCCAGCAGGATTAATTTCCTCTGCAGTAATCAGAAGAGTTCCTCCCTTCTGCATGTATCTTGCCTTAGTTCTCCTGCCCCAGATAAGGAATGCTTTGGCTGATCAGCACAGCTGTAAAGTGAAGCATCACCAAAAGACAGGGGAACAATAATATGATCGTGCATAGTTCCTGTCTCAGTTAAATCCCAGCCTTGTTTCAGTCTCTGAGTCGTTTCCCTTGGGCCATCAGCAGCACATCCTGGCTGAGGTGACGCACCCAGTTCTTATTTATGGGTTATTGAGGGGCCTAAAGGCCACTTAAAAACCTGGGCAGAGATGGAGACATTTGCTCAGCTGAGTCACTGATAAGGGCAGAAAAAGAGTAATGAACAAAATTCACCTCTGCATCTCTGTGTTTGTAATTAATATGTTTTCTACTTTGGTTCACTGTGGGCATTTTCCCCTGAATTTGTGCATTTGGTTTGCTGTGCAAAGGAGTGATGCCAGGGAAACCCCTATGGGCTCTTTTCAGTGCTTTCCCCATGGATTCAGAGAATACCTACTGACAACCTGAAATCCTTCTCTGGAGATCCTGGTTGTCCAGCTGCTTCCTTGGGCTCTTTTGTACTCTTCACAGAAGCTTTGCATAAATAATTTTACATGCCACTGACCATTTGTGTTTCACTTGGTAAATTCCTGTTTACGCACTAGCAATAAGGAAAATCCATTCTATGGAGTTGTCTGGGATCACTCTCCAGAAAGCTTTGCCTCCCTATCACTCCTGTCATTCGGTTGTTTTCCTGAGCAAATTCAGTGTCTCTTTTGTGTGTAATTTCTGATCTCATGGCTGTGGTTGTGCGGCAAATGCAGATCCTGGAGGTGGCTCTGGGGACCTGTCCCACGGATCAGCTGGCAGCCTGTAGCAGTCAGTTCAGCCCCACAGCCCTGCTGGGGCTCTGGGCCACCTGCAGCCAAGGCGTGGCCAGGGGTGCTGCCCCTGGGCTGCTCCAGCCCCGCAAAGCCCCAGGTTTGTTCTGGAAAAGTGCCTTTGGCGGCTGCCAGGCTGGGGACAGTGACAGCCCTGGCCCAGAGCCCCCAGGACCAGCTGTGCACACAGGGCAGAGCTGTGCTGGCATCCCCAGGACGGTCAGAACGGGACACACGGGCACAGCCCCAGCCCAGGGTTGGAACCTGCCTGGAGAGGTGCCAGATCTGACACAAATGTAATTGTCATTTCCACTGCTGCAGCAAATGGCTTCTGGGGGCTCAGGAAACCCCAGCTTCTCCAGATCCTCACACTGGGCATCTGAAAGCTGTAATTCCTGATGCCATGAAGCTGAAGTATTCCCATCCTGTGCTGCTGATACCACTGCACATCACAGGGTGATGGTCCAGAGGATGCACCCTGGAACTTCGCATGCCAAGATGAGAAAATCAATCTCTGTTAATAAAAAAAGGCAGGCTCGCTGGTGCAGAAAATCACTACTCTGGAGCCTTAACGAGGCTCCTTCAAAAATTCATGATTATAAAATGGAATCCTGGGCTACATTATAGTTCTGAAAGAAATTGGGATATGGAGGGAAAAAAATCCAATTTTCATTAAGTGGAGAAAATAAAGGATAAATCCTGTACACAGACATAGTCATTGATCACAAGGAATATAATTACATGCTCAATATATAAGAACATCTTTCAAGTCTCCCAAGTACACAATACTTTTCTTAAATACTTCTCAAAGTTAAATTTTCTTTTCTTGCTGTTTGCTCAGGCTTCTAGCACTAAGTCCATCTGAACAAAATCTGTGATTGTTCTAATAAACTGCTGCAGGATATTTGACCTGTGGCGAAAGAAACCTTAACAATCCCAGTCCTGGCCTCATCAGTGGAACAATTTGGTGGTGGCCCCTGGTGTGCAAATTCAGAGTGCAAATTCAGAGTGCAATAAATGGCAGAGAGCAAACATCCTCCTGCCCCTGTGCCCATCCCAGCGAGGGGCTCTGAGCACTTCCTCACACACAGCCTCCCCTCTCTGTCTGAATTCCTGCTCCAGAGCCATGTGGAGCATGGAATAATTAACATGCAGTCCTGCAGGGTAGCTGGGTGTGATGGCTGATCATTTGGAGGGGTTTTGGCTTCAGATATGTCTTCTGCAGAAATAGAGCAGGAAGAATTCCAGATTGGCTTTTGTGATATTTTAGCTTTCAGGCTTGGCATTCTGTAATGCAGCCTGAATTATTTTAGATATATTCTAGGCAGCTGCCTGGAAATACAGCTACTCTAAGTGTATAATAAATGCCATGAGGCCTTTTTACTATGTTATCACACACCAAATTATTTTTTTTTCTTTTTTTTCACATATTCATGAATTTGTTAATGAAGGAACCTTTCAGTAGTTTAGCTGATCAGCTCAAAACCAAGAAGAGAAGCAGCCCCTGACAGTTCATCTTCCTGCTTACTTAAGTGTGCCTGAGTCACGACTAGGGTGAATCCGGCACTTTTATGTGCAGGATTTTCCCTTTTATTTCTTTATTCCTTCATTCAGTGTTAAGGGTGGATGTGTGAGGGGCTTGAGAGCCTGCAGATTTTTGTCATTTAGGTGCCATCATCAGGGACTTTTGAGGTAAGCAGAGATGGAAATGCTGTTTCACAGAAAGAATTATTTCCATCTCTGCACGGGCTGGGCTGCAGGCTCAGAGGAGCACAGCACTCCCAGGAGAGCAGAGGGAAAACCAGGAGTGAGGAGGTTCCCTGTCCTCCCTCCTGTCCCTCCTGTCAGGGACTCTGGGCTGCTCATTTTGAGGTTACCCTGCTCCTGAGGGCTCAGAGGAAATGTTGGGGTTCTGTTGGCAGTCTGACCCTCTGCTGCTGTGTACAGACAGGCCTTTTGTACCCAAACAGCTCCAAATTTCTGTACATAAACCATAATCTGCCCGTGGGAGCACTGGAGTTTTCCATTTTGCTGCTAATTGGATGATACCCTTGCAACAGCCTTTGTTGCCATGGCTGGTGCTGGGCAGGGAACAGTGAGGGAAGGCTTTTATGCAGAAATCTTACAAAAATGCAATGACTGTCCCTATTTGACAGCAACTGAAACCAATTGTCAATTAACTAAATAACAACCAATTAGCTTAAAGGAAAAAAAAGAAGAAAATTGCTTGCTTCACATTCTTTGTTGAAGCAATTGCCAGTCAGAGAATGGGAGCTTTTTTCTTTCTCTTGTAAAGACAAAATGGCAAAAGATGTGCAGAAAATGCAGAATGGTGGGTTTCTTTTTTTTCTAATACCGTCCTTTTCTCACATGAGAATACTTTAGAAGCTACATAAGAATATCTTGAGCTCCTGAGACATTTAATTTCCTGTGATATTTTAAAATCAGAATTACGATCATTATACCAGCAGAGTTTTTCCTCCTTCCTTTCACGCCTCTGTAGGGCACTGCAAGCACCAGGGCAGCTGCCCTGCAGCTGGCTGCCCTTGCAGGGGAGGCCAGCAAACATCTGGCTGCTCCGTGGTGCAGTGACAGGACTGAGATTTGGCATCTGCATGGCCACACCAAACCCTTCCTCTGCCACATTCTCGAGTCCGTGGGTGAGATGGGGCAGAGCCTGTAATGTCCAGAGGCTGAGGGAGCCAGGGCTGTTAGGGGCACTGAGAGAGGCATTTCCTCTGGCATTTGGCTCTGGCTGCTCTGCCCTTGTCTCTCACACAGCTCAGGGCTGCAGGTGATGCACAAAGCATCCCTGGACCCTTCCTGCCTGCAGGGCTGCAGCACAGATGCTCCCAGGGCTGACACAGCTCCGTGTCTGCCTGACATCCATTACTGCCTCAATCAATACATCCTCACACGCTTTACTCATCCTTTGAAAAGATCTTAGTACATTCTACTGAGGGCTGCTCACAGCATCATTTCACAGGTTTCACAGTGTGTTACTCTTTTGTTAATCCTTTTAGGACCCATGTTTCCTAAGTGATAGCTGAGGATGGGAGGTATGACTTCCAACCATTCAGGAAGCAATGGCTGTTGCATGTTTTTTCATTTACTGATGTGAGATTCGGCCCTGCACGTATTGATCTGTTGCTTTCTTACAGGAACATTTTACACCTGAATGCAAGTTCAAAGAATCAGTATTTGAAAACTACTATGTGACATATTCCTCAATGATCTACAGACAGCAACAGTCTGGCCGGGGCTGGTATTTGGGTCTTAACAAAGAAGGAGAAATAATGAAAGGAAACCACGTGAAGAAAAATAAACCTGCAGCACACTTTCTTCCAAAACCCTTAAAAGGTAATTGCTTGGGTTTGCTCCATTTATCTGGACTGATACTATGTAGTGTTTAATTCCTGTGCTCTGTTTGACATGTCCAGCTCCTCGTGTAACAGGAGTGTGATGTTCTGTAACACGGACAGTGCTGCTTCTCTGTTCCCAGGGCAATGCTGGTTTTTGCCAGCTTAGGTCTGTCCTGCAGGCGGTGTAAGTGCAGAGGGCAGGTGGCTGCTTTCACTGGAGGGAGGAGTGGTTTTCCCCTCCTGCAGAATGGCAGTCCATGGATGAAGAGGATGTCAGAGGCTCAGTGTTTGCATGAAGGGCTCTCCCTGCCCTGCTGCTGTCTCTCCTCCCGTTGCTCACTGCTGGCTGGCGATCCCGGCGGGTCAGGGCTGGGCTCTGCCCCAGCAGCAGCCCAGGCCGTGCTGACGTTCTGCTCTCTCTTGCCTTGCAGTGGCCATGTACAAGGAGCCTTCCCTCCACGATCTCACAGAGTTCTCCAGGTCTGGCAGTGGGACCCCAACCAAGAGCAGAAGCGTCTCAGGAGTGCTAAATGGGGGGAAATCCATGAGCCAAAACGAGTCGACGTAGCCAGGCTGAGGCCAGCCAAGTGCTCTCTAACAGAACCTTACCTCTGGATGCAGTTGAATCCTTACTTTCATCCCAACCTCCCGTTGCCCAGGACAGGCGCCGCGCTCCACCGCCACCCCTTACCACATCAGATCTTCTGGATGCCAAAGGATAGCCCAGGCATGGAGGAGGTGCCTGTGCACGGCACGGGCCATGAGAGCAGCAGCACCGCTGCGGGAACACCTCCCAGAAGAAACGTCCCGCTCTTTCTCTCTCTCACTTCTCCTTTCTCTCTTTCTCTCTCTCCTATGCTTTGTGGAAAACGAAAACAAAAACATTTCACAGCATTTGCTGCTGATAAGAATTTGCTTTCCAACTCAGAAAAAGACCACTTTTGCTTTTCAAAGGAAATTTTAATGCTTGTATGTTTTATAGGGGCAAACAAAAAACAAATACGTAAACTCTGTCGTTTCCTTGGCTTACCGTTTTATATCTAAGGCTTGATAAAAAATGTATCCTTTAATTTGGAATAGTGCAACTTTTTGATTTCTGAACTCCAATGGGTCTTTAAAGCTATGTCTTTAAAAAAATAACTCAAAATTCAGGGTTGGAACTGAGAGTTGGTGTCTCAGGCTCAAGCAAACAGTGTTCTTGTGGTTTTAAACACAATGAAATAATAAATTTTTATAGATTTGTAGTTTCTGGTAAAGTTCTTGTGCTAACCCCAGTCTGTAGGAATTGAGTTGTTTTGTTATCCCAAGTGGAAGTTAACAGAAAGGGATAAAATTATCCTCCAGTGTAGATTTCTCTTAATTCCATTTTGTGTGTCATGTTAAACTATCGTTGTGGCTTCTTTTCTAAAGACAGAAACTGTGGAATTAAGGTGACTTAATTTTTTTATAAGAAACGTCTTATTTGTAAAAGTCCTTTCACTGTAACGGGCACGTGAATATTGTGTAGGAGGAAGCGCTAGGACAGGTTACCCCTAAACAACATATACTTATACATGCTATTGGAAACAATTGTTTAAAAAATGTAGTTAGGTTTCCATTTAGGTCATCATGTCTGTTGCATGGGAGAAAGTTGGAATATTGGCATAGAGTTGCATGATGTGTAAGATTTTGTGCATTAATCATCGTTGGATTCTGTGCTCCAAAACTGAATTAGTTCTGTACAGGCAGCTTTCTGCCTGCTACAAAAAAAGTTGTTTATTATTTGTTGTATACACAACCATGCACTGAATAAACTATTTATATTAAGATGTACTTTTTAAAAAAGCTTGTTTGATTGTATGCTGTACATCCATGGTTAATCTGAAGGGAAGAGGGTTGGCAATTAAATTATGAAGTTACAAAAGATACTAATGTTAAAAATCAATTGTAATTAATGTTCAAAATCTTTCTGTGTGACGGTCATTCCCTGTAACGCCATACATACAGAAATTCAACCCTTCTTTGCTTTTGGGCACTGTCAGAGCTGGTGCTGCGTGCCCAGCTGAGATACTCAGACACAGCCACGCTCTGCTGTCCTTGGGAGTGGCCCTGTGCCCTGCTGTGCCCTGTGCCATGCCCTGTGCCCTGTGCCCTGCTGTGCCATGCTGTGCCCTGCTCTGCTGTGCCCTGTGCCATGCTCTGCTGTGCCGTGCCCTGCTGTGCCGTGCTGCTGGCCCCCGGGCTGCCCCCTGTGCCCCGGGCAGCTCCTGCTCTGCTGGATGGGGTCTCAGCACTCCTGGGGGTGCTCAGCAATCCTGGGGATGCCCAGCACACCTGGGGGAGGCTCAGCATTTGCTGGCCATCACTGCAGGTGCATTTAACAGCCAGCTTCATCTGGCCTCCCAGAAAAAAGCTCCCATACCTTTGCTCTGGAGGGAGAACATCCCTCTCTCCTGCCTTTTTTCTCTGGGGAAAAACTTCCCGGGAAAACTTTGCTCATCTGCAGCATCCAGGCAGCTCTGACAGGTGAGCTTCACTCGTTCAGGTGTTCCAAGAAGTCCTAGCAGGGACAGGTTTTCATCCTGGGTGGCCGAAGAATCAGTTCTGGAAGACAATGATGGAAATGCAGGCAAAAATCTGCCCCTAATGTTAGGCTGAAATGAAAATGAGATATTCTGTTGTGTGCTCTGTGTTCCTCCTACCTGACTGAGCTGGAATTCAACCAGCTTTAAGGTCAGGGCTGAGAGAGAAGGGAAGGAGATTGTTTCAGCTCAAACCTCCAGATGTGCTCTTAGGGGGCCCAGGCTTCCCAGCTCGCCCCTTTCCATAGGGTGAAGGAAGTGGGAGCACACCCAGTGCTGCAGAAATCCTTAAAAAACTGAAGATGTGGTCACGATTTGGGTACATGTTCCAAAAAAGGAGTCTGAGTGCCTTAGGAACATAAAGGCTGATTTTAAAATAGGCATTTTTGTAACCCAGCTAGTTGAGTGCTGTGTTTGGTACCCTAGAGATAACTGGAGCTCTGCTGCTGTGGTTTATGGCTCCAGTGCTCCTGTTACTCTCCAGCCCCAGCTCTGCAGCTCACCTGCAGCAGCAGGGAAATTCTTGTCTCACAAATGCCCCTCCTGAGCTCCACAGCCTGACCCATCTTCGTGTCAGATGTTTCTGACAATTACATTGCATTTCTGACAAACCTGGTACAACAATATTTTCTTCTTCAGATTACTGAGGCCTGAAAGGGTAATAATCCTGCTAGAGTGCTGATGGTAGACAGAAGATTATGTACTCTAAAAGTGGGCTTTTACATGTAGTCTCTGGAGCCATAATTAGGATTTAATAAGGAAAATTATTTGTGACTTTATAGACAGGGAGTGAAGGTAATATCCTCCCCAGCCAGCAAAGTTAAGACAAGAAAGTGGCTTCATCAGAGGACCAGACTGAGGAATCAGACTCCAGAATATTTTTTTCAGCACCCATAAATCAGAAAGTTACACAGCTTTTCTCCTGGGTAATACCTTCTTTTAAGAAACCTGCTAAATGTGGGGGAAATGTCCGTTTGATGCTTGTCTCTCAAAGCTCAGAGGCACTGGTAAAGCTGCTCTGCTGTGCCACAGGGCAGTGCAGAGCCAGGAAGAGGCACCCCTGGAGTCAGGGAAAGCCCAGGGACTGCTGTGGCTCCCAGCCCTCAGCTCCTGTGAGCGCTGGGCACCTGCAGAGCAGGGCACAGGCCCTGCTGGCACTGCCAGGGTGGGCACACCTTCCCCTGCCCCTCCAGCAGCGCTGCCCAGGAGGTGCCACCCCCTCCACACCTTCTGGCACACCTGGGCATCACCTGGCAGAGCCCCACGGCACCTCGGGGCTGGGCAGAGGCCACCTCCAACCCCGGGAGCAGGGCAGCCCTGCAGCAGGAGCACTGGGGGAGCACAGCGAGTGCCCTGTGAGCCCCTGGCACAGCTCACAGGTCCCTGCAGGGCTGCAGCCCCTGGCACAGCTCACAGGTCCCTGCAGGGCTGCAGCCCCTGGCACAGCTCACAGGTCCTTGCAGGGCTCCAGCCCTGCTGCCTGGTGTGGGGGTGAGCCAGAGTGGGAATTGCTCCTCTCTAGATCACAGGGACTTTGTTCCTCCTTCTCCTGCTCAGTCTGACGTTCCTCATGCTACCTCAGCATGGCTTATCCCGTCAGCTCCTGCCCAGCCCAGGGCGGGCACAAGGCAGGGGCTCGTTCTGTGCCTGGCAGCTGCCTGGTGAGCGGCAGGAGCAGGGCCCTGCTGTGCCCAGCCTCTCCCGTGGGTGCAGGCGCTGTGCCCAGCTCAGGGATGCTGTCCCTGCTGCAGCCAGCCTGGCAGAGCTCTGCTGTGTCTGAATATCTCTGCGTGGGGAGCAGGGCCAGCTCGTGGCCTCGTGTCTCCCTGCCACATCCAAAAGTGACCAGGACACTTTTGCAGGACAGAATCTGTATGCAACAACCTCCTGTCTTCTAATAAACAATTCTCTCTTAAACCAACGCTGCTGTCTGGGTTCTGCTTTATATCACTGCAGATATTGTCAGGGTTGGCTGCTCCAGCAGCAGAACCTCACCATGGTCAGCGTTCCCTGGGACAGAGACCCTTCTGGATTAAAACTCTGCTTTCCTGTCACCTGAGCCACAGAGGGGCAGCTCCAGTGGTCAGCCCAAGACCAGCAAAGATGGGGTTTCGGTTTTCTGTAGCCTCAGCTGCTGGATGAAGGACACAAAGTGTGGTGTGTTTTACCTGCTCTAGATGCTGCAGCTCAGCTTCCTCCTTGATGTGAGACCAAGACTAAACCACCATTGTTTTGTCTGACTTTGGCTCTGAAAAATGACATATAAGTACAGTAGAAAACCTATTTAAAATAAATTAATTTCTTAGGGAGAAAACCTGTCATTCAATTTATCCTGAGTAACTCCAGCTTTGGCCTTTTTCCAGCAATTTTTGGGGACATGTCCTTGACAACAAAAAATTTCCAACTCGCAGAGTAAGGTTTTAAGACACTCTCTCCCCAGGCATGAGTGAGCAGAGCCTGGTTCATGCCTTTTGGAGAGCAGGTCCTGAAATAAGCTGGGACTGCTGCTGTACAGTGGTTTTATTGCTGATCAGCTCCAGCAGCAGATCTCACCCTGCTTTGAGGACACATCACATCAGTCTGGGGGGCACTCAGTCACCTTCTGCAGCTCCTCTCAAGGGAAGGTTTAAATATTAAAGGAAAACCCAAATTTGAAACACATTTTACATTAATCAGAGAAATTGATGCCATAAATTATTCTATTTCATCAGGAATTAGAAGACAACTTACAGGGTTTCCTTCAAAGATCATTATTAATGATTTGAAATTTAAGAGTCTTAAATACTACGTATGGAAAATTACTTTCCAGCACTCGTAGGCCTAATTTTTTTCCCAGTTGTGCTTGGCATGTCTCACCTAAACTCAGCATCTGGGGGGCAGGATGAATGCTGTGATGTGCCGGGGGTTTCTCAGCCCTGCGTGCTGCCACTCTGCTCCCCTGAGCTGTCTCCTGGCAGAGGGCAGGGCCCCAGCTGCAAACAGCTGTGTTTAGAGCTGCAAACAGCTGTGTTTACAGCTGCAAACAGCTGTTTTTAAAGCTGCAAACAGCTGTGTTTAGAGCTGCAAACAGCTGTTTTTAAAGCTGCAAACAGCTGTGCTTAAAGCTGCAAACAGCTGTGTTTAAAGCTGCAAACAGCTGTGTTTAGAGCTGCAAACAGCTGTGTTTAGAGCTGCAAACAGCTGTTTTTAAAGCTCCAAACAGCTGTTTCTAAAGCTGCAAACAGCTGTTTTTACAGCAGTGAGGGTGAGGTTTCATTCCCTGGTGAGGAAAAGCTGAGGGCAGTGAAGCCCCAGCAGGGAAGGAGCAGCAGCAAACTGAGCTGGGGCCGAGCTGGGTGAGTGCACCTGGGCAGGGCAGGAGAGCAAACCCTGCCCAAACCTCACAGCCCAGCCCAGCCTGACACCCCCAGAGCCTGCTCAGCTCGGAGCTGCTGCTGCTCCAGGAGCCTTCATCTTCACCAGCACTTCACCTGCTGCTCAGGAACCCAGACATCACCTCCTGCATAGGGATGCAACACTGTTAATCTAGGAAACGTTTTTAGATAACAAAATCAATTGCTTCAAAACTTAATTAATCCTACTTTCTTCCCAAATGCTTTCCTTCAAATGGTACTTGAAATAGTTTTACTTTCCCCCATTGTCTCTCTAATATAGTGAACTTTTCCTCCTGAGCTTCTCCTTGTTTTAATTGTCTGCTCATCCAACCATCCCTTCTGATAATTAAGCAAGTTAATAATATGGAGTGATCTTTAAAAATTAAACTCCTTTTCTTGTTAAACAAAAGCAGAACTTCGGTTGTTGTTTAAAGGTGTGGGGTTTTTTTACTTTTTTAATTTAAAAGAACAATTACTGCATTTGGAAGTAGTGGCAACACTTGAGACCCCACCTGCCACAGAGCTCTGCCACAGAGCTGGTGAAATTATTTTACATTAACCCCAAAGGTTTTGCATTACAGAACATAATGAGATTTCTCTTGGGAGTTTCAATCAGCAGATCTCACCATTGCATAAAGCAAAGAGCCAAGGAAATCCCAGAGCAGTCAGGACTGTGGGTGCTGCCCTTGCCAGCTCGGGTCCTCTTCTGCCTGGGTGATGCCACAGCCCAGCCCCGCAGCACCAGCCCCACTCCTGTCTTTTCTGCCCCACTGCCCATCCCTGCCCCACAGACCCTGGGACACACAGCCCAGAGGCCAGCAGTGCCTGGGACTGCTTCATTTCTTGTCCAGGCCTTGGGCTAAAGCCACACAGCTTCTGTCAGTCCAGGAGGAAACAAGGGAGTTGTGCTCGGAATTTGTGGTGGCACAGTTTGTGCTGGTTCACAGCAGCAGTGGGTACCAGCTCTGCCAAACACCTCCCCTGAACCCAACAGGGAACCTCCCAGCAGAACCAGCCAGAGTTCAGCAGCAAACATGTTCTCCTGCCCCACAAGTTCTCCTGGAACAAAAACCTCCTGATCCAAACAGCTCCAGTATCCTCTGCCCCTTTTAAAAGCAAACGCTGTGCTATTAAACAAAGTGATGTGTGCCTAAAAGTGCATGAAAAAGAGAGAGCATGGGTAAAAAAGGAAAGGCAAAACATTCTAGGCATGAAAGACAATTGCACATGAATTGCATTTAAAGCCCTTGTTTGTTTTAAAAATCCAGTCTGAATCCGTGTGGAGCACTGGAGCTGCGGGTTACAGGGGACATCTGGACAACGTGGCCCTGCCTTGCTGCTCTGCACGTGCCAGGAGGCAGTGAGGAAGAGAAACAAGGAAATCTGTCTCTTTTGAAAAGCTGATGAAGAGATAAATTAATTAGAACAAATCACTGTAGAATAAGCATTTCCTTCTTGCTATCTAATAATGCATATTATTATATAGGGGACAAATGGGATGGGGAGGCAGCTCAGCTGTGCACAGCTCAGAGCCCGAGGCTGGGCAATGGATCTGAGCTCATCTGCCTCACCAGGAGATTCACTGGGCTCAGGGCTCAGCACACCTGGAATTAGACCCTGCTCTGGCCAGAGATTTGTCTCCAGCCTGCAGGAGGCCAGCACAAAGTGCAGTGCAGTAAAACACCACCCTGTTCTGTTCCCAGCCCTCTCACTGCTGCCAGAAAATGGCCCAGCCAGGGCAGTGAGGGAGGAAAATGTGCTGCTCTTCACCTGTGTTAATGCACCAGGCCTTGGGGTAACCCTTACAGCTCTTTGTCCATTCTTCAGCAGCAGCCAGCGAGGGTGGGAGAGTGAATTCCCTGCAAGAATCCAGCCCTGCCCTCAGTGGCCGAGCTCTCGTTTGAGCAGGACCATGATGTGTTCTGATGAAGGTGATGTCAAAGCTCTCAGGGAGTGCTGCTTTGTGAGGAACCATGATATTTAAACCCTGTGACCTTTTAGAAAGTGTAAGATCTGCCTTAAAGGGCAGCCTTCCTCAAATAAATGACTCTGAAACCTCTTAGGTCAGATTTTTTTTAAAAATCGATAATGGAAAGACATCACATTATTTTACTATGAGAAGATTAATCATTAATATCTTGCAATTGATTTGCAAGCCGCATTTATTTATGATGTGTTTGTACAGCAGCAGGCACACCTTTATCTATTATCCAGACCTCAAGGAGTTACTTAGAGCAAATAAATCAATGCAATTTATCGATTAAATTATATAAATACTCTTGGAATTTGGCAAGGGAAAGTTTCCATAGCCATTCTCAGGTCTCTCATTTACGGGCTGGGAGCTGGCAAATGAGAGCCTAAAGCAAGCCAAGGAGGCTGAGGAGCCCAGCGTAGGCTCTGACCTGGGCTCCTGTGGCTGCTGTGCTCTCCTGCAGCCTGGCTGTGCTCCTGGGGCTGGAGAGGGCTCAAATCCCTGTCCTGGAGCTGGAGAGGGCTCAAATCCCTGCCCTGGAGCTGGAGAGGGCTCAGATCCCTGCCCTGGGCTGTCCTGCAGCCTGGCTGTGCTCCTGGAGCTGGATAGGGCTCAAATCCCTGTCCTGGAGCCTGGAAAGGTTCAGTCACTGCCCTGGAGCCTGGAAGGGCTCACTCCCTGCCCTGGGACCAGTATTATCACAGCTGTGGGCAGGACCAGGCCTTTTGAAAGTGCATTTGTTAAATGTGCAGTGGTTCAAGTTCTCCTGACAAATGCAAAACAAAGATCTTACATAATTCACTGCAACTGCAAAGATAAAATTTTACATGTCATAACAACACGTATCAAAAGAATTATGTAAAACTCACCCATAATTTAAAATGTCACTGGAATGGCTCCAGAACCAGGGCAAGGTCTTTGCAAGGCTCCTCATGGCAGCTGAAAGCTCCGTGCCAGAGCCTCGGCTGCAGGTACAGGTGAGAGGAGAGAAGGGGAGAGGAACAGAGAGGAGAGGGTGGCTATTAGCAATCCCTTATAAACATACCTACTGCGCTGCAAAGATTAATTTAACTGCAGGTTAACTCTGGGCTGCAGCAGAGTGGCAAGTCACACCAAAGCCACGAGGAGAACCAGCAGCTGTGCGGTGAATTTGGTATTTGGGGAACATCCCTCTCCAGCCTCAGGGCCCTGGACCTCTCTGTGCGAGCAGAAGGTTTGGGAACGCCGCTGGACCTGCCTTGTTTTCCTCCTGCTGCTCTTCCCTTCTGCCCTGGAGGAAAGCTGCACGGGGAACTGCTTTAGAAACGACATCCCTGCCTTAGTTATCCTCACCACAGCTAAAAATAGTGCGGGGAATCCGCCTGAGATCCAAGCGGTTCCGAGAGGAGAGGAGGGGAGGGGAGAGCAGAGGAGAGGACAGGAGGCTCTCTCCTGCTCCTGGCTCTCAGCCGGGATGCCGAGAGCAGGAATCAGCAGGGAGCAGTGAGCCAGGCTGCCCAGAGCCTCCCTGCGGCAGGAGGAGCATCCCTTCCCTCCCTGGGATGCTCCTGAACACCCCACTCCAGGGTTCCCTGCAGCTGCCGCCCCACTGAGCTGCACACAGACAACAGACTTACAGTACAATGCACCTAGGATAGCTAAACCTCTGCTTTTTAATGCAAATCTCAGCATGATTTGGCAATTTACACAATAGAACCTGATACCGGGATATGCCCCAAGAATATGCCTGCCTTTTCTTTCTTTTACATAAAAATATTTATTATTAATAAAGTTCTGCAGAAGAAAAGAATTAATTGTAGTAAGAGGAAGTAGAGCAGCAGCCTTTCCTCCTCACATTAAAAAGTAAAGGCACCATTTTTAGCCAGTTCCACGATTTCTGAGCACTTCAGCATTAGCTGAAGCTCTGGTCTGTAATTCCCACAAAGAGAATTTCAGGCCTTTCATCGCTGCAGGGCTCCTTGTGCTGGGCACCAGCAGAGGTGCCTTCCTGCAGCTGTGGCTCAGGGCACCGTGGCCCTGCTGGGCTGCAGCCTCCCTGTGCCCTGGCAGCATTTCCTCACGGCGGGGCAGGCAGGGCTGCAGCTCCTGCCAAAACAGGCTCCAGCAGCCGAGCCCAGGCAGCTGGACTGGTCACTCTGGTACAGACACACAGTCTTGGTCATCAGTGGCTTATATGGGTCTCTATCCATTTTTGTGACTGTCAGATGTAATTATTGGGATCGTTCATCATAAAGGTGAAATAAGAACTACCTGAGATTTTCTGGTTTTGCCAACATAAAATATAGAATACCATAAACTGGAAGGGACCCACAAGGATCATTGAGTCCAAAACCTTTCAGCTGGGAAAAATATCCAGTGAACTGTTTGCTTATCAAATGTGGCTCTTTTTTTTTTTTTTTTCTTTTTGCCTGTGATTTACATCCTGAAATTCCACTATTCCATAAATATAAAAAGTCACTTTGTAGTTCACATTCAAATAGTGCAGTCAAGAGCTATCCTTGCAAACCCTTCAGACACTGCCCCTGGTGTTTGCTGAGCCCAGCGAGCTCCGTGGGCCCTCCAGCCTTCAGCTCCTGGGCTGGGCAGCCTCGCCTGCCAAGGGGCTCAAGGCAGCACTTCTCAGACACATCCCTGATCATGGGGCTCTCCCACATCCCCATCCACCTGCTCTCCCCTCCCCTGTCCCCAAGAAATGCATTTTATTGGCACGGTGTCAATGTTTCCCTTTCACAAGGAGTGGAAAAGCAAATATTCACAAGTGGTTTTGCAGTATTCCCTCAAATGACTGCAAGCCAGTGCTCCCAACACACTCAGAAACCCCAATATCTTCAGAAGGATATATTTCTGCATCAAAAAACCCACCACCATTCCAGTTTTCTTTTCCAGACACTTGAGGGGCACAATGCTTTGTGGAGAAAGCTGCTATTCATTGGAAGAACATTGCAGTGGAATGGCAGGAGCGCTGCAATGGCCAGCACTGCCAGAGACATTAATGTTCAATATTATTTACATGCCAGGACCTCTGACAGGGAAAGAAATGGCAGCAGACTCACCAGGACACAGGTCTGAGCTGCTGACTGCAAACACCAGCCCTTCCCTGGAACAGCCAGGCTGCAGGCACAGCGTGGGATTTGGGAAGCAGTGACTGGCCAGAGGCAGCAAACACTGCTCAGAGTCTCTGACCTGTTCTAGGGGAGCCTTGGGAAGAGACACAGGCAGAGCCTGGGCCCAAAGGCTGGGGCACAGGTGAGGCAGGCTCCACCCGGCTCTTCCAGCCCCAAACTCACCCTCACACTGCCTTTTGTGCTTACCCTATTTCTGTATGGATTCATTACCTACCTGTTTGGGATCTCTGAGGGATCATACTTAGGAAAGCCCTGTAAGTAAATATTTTCTTCTATATAATTTTCACAGCAATGAGGCAGACAGTCCAATTAAATGAAAATGTGGAGTTTATTTTTAGGCAGCCTAAGCTGGTACTGGTCTGCAATTAGAACATCAGTGAAGAGCTGTGGGAAGGGCTGGAGACTGAGTCACTGCTCAAAAGGGATGCAGAAAGTTTAGGCTTTTATTTCCCCCGCCTGATCCTTCTCTATTAGCACTGCAAATGCCACCTCCTTTCACAGCTTTGGCAGTGAGATTTTGGCAGTCCCAGAGCAGACCTTAGGGGCACTGGTTGCAAACTGCATTTCAATTGCAAAGAGCTGTGCAAACGAGCTGTAATTGCGAATGTCAGAGAGTCCCGGTGGTTTAAGGTGGTTTAAATGAAAACACCTCTGCCGGGAAGCTCAGCACATCCCTCACCTGTGTAAAGCCTGGCAGCCTGGCACAGGCCCTGCCCCAGCTGCCAGCAGCCCCAGGCTCCTCTCAGGCTTTGGGCAGCTCTGCCTGGCTGCTGCTGGGGGATTCTGTCTCCTGCACACACCTGGGAGGACAGGGAACTTGCCACCAGAGAAGGGAGAGCCCTCCAGAGCTGCCCTGGCTTCCACATGCCACACGAGGCACTGGAGAATGCTCTCTTGGTGCTCCAATATTCCTGTGCATTGCTCAGATTCATTAGGTTGCCTTTCATAAATCAGATGCTACAGATTTGGAGGAAATCGATGCTAATAAGAACTAAACTATGTGAACATTCAACTGGAGCAAAGAGGGATTTTTGCCTTTGATTAAGTCATTACCAACTCCCCTGCAGTATCAAATATTTCTCTTTTAAATTGCTCACAAACAGTAGTGTGCCTTGAAACGCACGGACAAAAAACATTCTTCCCTCAGCAAAGGAAAACAACGCATAATCCACTTTTGTTTGCTTTGGCATTTTGGTACATAATCGGGACAGGATTGTTCCTTTGCTAAATTGTGCCTGGGACAGAGCAGCAAAACAGCAAAGCAGGGGATCGATAGCAGCCTTGGGATTCAGGATTAGTTGAGAGAAAAGCCCCTTGGTGAGTGTCCTCCTGAGAGTTTAGAATCAAATGCACCTAAACCATTCCTGAATCACCAAATCTGCATTAAAATAAAGAAAAAAAAAAAAACAACAAAACAAAACCAAACCAAGCCCAAATGAAAATAAAAGCTAAAGAAAGCACACTTGGTGACCGGGCTCTGGCAGCAGCACTGTGCCCAGTCCCTCTCCTCACAGCCTCTAACCTGCAGCAGGTCCCTCCTGCTCTGCTCACACTGCAGAGCTCCCAGCAGGGCTCTTTGCTGCCACTGCTGCCAGAAGCACCAGGATAAACACCACACGGGGAAGTTCTGTGGGCAAACTGCAGAACAAGGCTAGCAGCATTATCTTCACGTCATTGTGATTCCCCAATGCACTGATCTCCAGTTTAAAAATAAACCCCTGGATCAAAATAGAATTTGGCAACTGGTTTTAGCTAAAAAAATGGTATTTTGAAATGGGGAAAAAAAGCTGAGAAAACTTTCTTTTCCTCTCTGAGCAAAGAACTGAAATGACAGATGTGGCTTGAGCAGCAGTGGGCTGAGAGCACAGTGAGCAGCACATGAACACTCCAGTGATGCTGCTGTGCCTGCAGAGACAGGACACCGCTGCCATGGCACTCCAGCATGAATTGGAATCAAATGAGGAGCATGAAAAGACCCCCACTGACACCAAAATTGGTTACCCAGTCCTAAGAGCAGTCAGACCTCCATTATGAACACCAATAGCTCTATAAAAATCAAAAATAATATGCAAAATAATACATATTCTTTTCATACAGAAAAAAAAAATCTTCCTTAACTCTCAGCACAGAGAGCTACAGCTGCACTGTGCAGCCAGTACGTGTCCCGAAATACTGCAGTGATGGAACTCCCAGTCCTCTGTTCTAAACACCTACACAAAATATTGCAGTTATAATGAGCCACGGGAAAAACTGGGATGTCAAAAAAATCCATGTCCTCTCTCTTAGGAATGCAGACATGATTAGAAGAAGTTATGCCTACAAAGCTGATCAGATAAGTGAGCATATATTGGATTTTTTAAGTTTCTAGTTAGATTTCTTTACAAGAAGCTACTTAATGATTTTACCTTTCCCACATCTGCTAAATTGGCGATGTAGTCCAACAGAAATCACTTTGCTGCAGCTCAGAGTTACTTGGTTTTAACGAGTTTCTGGAGGAACAGGGATGGATTTTGCTGCCAGGCACAGTGGAAACACCGAGCTGAGGCCTGGGCTGTGCCCCTGCCACTCTGCTCTGAAGGGAGCAAGAGGCACCAGGGACAGACCAGGAAGGGAACCAGCACTGAGACCCAGACCTACTTTCTCAGCTGAGTTACTGAAAACTTTTCTCTTTGAGAGAACAAACAGGCAGCAGCGTGCTCTGCTGAGGACAAAGGAAACAACCTGCTCTCTTCAGAGCAGAATAAAAGCCAGACATCCCTTTCAACCCATGTCACTCTTTGATCCTAAAGAATTAAATTGTAGGTAACTACTGTTTAGGGAGGAACCCACCAGACTGCAAATTTTTAGGACAAAATACCCAGTTCTTAACAGACAAAGTCTGGTGCACAGACAGTGGGTGGTTGCCCCAGTAGCACTACACCATGAAAGCCTTCACAATAGCAGTGACCCTCTCTGTGAAAAATAAAATGTCTTAAAACTATTTTGGGGACCTTAAAAAGCTGCAGGGAAGATTTCTCCTCATCCATCTGCAGGACCCAGCAGCAAAAGCTCTGCAGCAGCGGCTGGTCCAGGACTGCAGCACGTGGCAGCCTCAGAGCTCCCCAAAGGGGCCTCTCCATGTCCTCACTTATCAGTGCTTGCTTTATAATCAGCTGAACAGCTGAGAAGTGCTCAAAAAGGACCCAGAGCAGCCAAGTATGGGACATGATCAGTCTGATCTGTGTAACTCCACTTGAACAAGAACTCATCCTTGTGAGGATGAGATGCAGAGACAATCTCAAAATCTAATCAAGAGAAACAGCATTGCTTAATCAGTGGTGAATTTTCAATCAAAATTCAGGGTTCCCCTTAGTCAATGACATATTTGCATTCAAATCACAACCACACTTTAATGGAGACTTTTTACTTCCCTCTTTCAAAAGCTCATACTTAAGAACAAGCTTATCTTTAAAAAATGGGAAGAGAAGTCAACAAGACGTGGTAATTATGAGAGAATTGCAGGCTCTGACAGGAAATAGGAGACTAAAGACAAAGTTAACAGAATAATTTCCCAAGCTCAATAGTCATTGATAATTAATAGAGAGGGTTATCCACGGATTCTTGTGCAACATCAATAAACTGGAGTCATCAGAGAGAAGAGACTCGAGATAATCAGCTAAAAGCCTTTAGCTGGATTTTGAAAGTTCAGAGGAGGAAGCATGTTAACTTTCTGAACCTCCAGATGAACTTTAGCGTCCTCTCCTGTCAGTGAAAGCTGCAAAGGAGGGCAGGAGAGCACACATGAACTGGAGAATGAAGAGCTGCTGAATTCCGGCGCTGCCTGGCATCAGGCTGGCATCGCGGGGCTGCCGTGGTGCCTCCCTGCAGAGCCCCTGTGCTGCCAGCCTGGGAGGGCTGCTGAGCTCTGAGGCTGCCAGGGTGGGTGCAAAGCTCCTCTCTGGCACAGGACAGCGAGCCCAGCACAGCTCAGCCTCACAAACAAACTCACAAACTGCGAGGGATGCAGGAGACCCCCAGCACCCTGACAGCCTCCTTCACTCCCGTCACTCGCACCAACGTGCTTGAAGAACAGCATTGCCTAACAGGGAGCACCAGACTTGGTCAGCTGCCGTCCACTGGGGAGGCAAACCAGAATTTACTGCTGCTTAAGTCACCTCTCATTAAGGACCTCAATTAGCTGATTTGTGAGAACAATCACAGTACAACTGCTGAAATCAATAAGCACATTTCAGAGCAGACAGATAGATTGTATTTTCTCACCCAGCTTCCACTTACAGAGGCCAAATGAGGCTATCACTGGAAAATCTTATAAACCCTCAGAGCTCCATAGCCAGAATCCAGTTAGAAGCTAAAACGCTTCCCTTCATTTAGCCTCTTGCCTTGCCAGGGCAAGACTGTGGTATGTTTCTTAGCCTCTTATAAAGGGCTGCCATTGAACAGAGTGGGTTTAAGAGATTCTGATTAAAGCCATTCATCTCAGATGAGATGGAACAGAATCAAAATCAAACCCTGGGAATAACATATCAGGCAGAAATTAGGATCCCTGCACGCAGCAGCCTGAAAAGTCTAAATTCATACCTGGCAGGTGCCCACTTCTGTAAGGTTTAATTCATTGCAAGAAGGAGAAGAAAGGCAAGCAAACCATAAGCAAACTGAACAAGACCTCAAGACATTCTTCCTTATCCTCAATCCACGAGGAATACACCTTAATTCAGGAATTAATCTCATGTTCTTCATGAATGCCATTTTTTCCCTTGCAAAGAGAGGTCCTGGGGCATCTTTTGGCTGACTATGGCTGAGCTACATCTCCATAACTTGAATTTGCAGGGCTGGAGTGGAGGCAGCAGCCGGTTTCTGCAGGGGGAGAAGGTGTGCACAGCTTGGGCTGTACCTGTGAGACGGAATATTCACTGTGCTCAGTGACAATGCAGTGTCTGGATGGTCCTTAGGGGTGGGTCCTTACTGCTCAGCCCCTGGGTGAATATAGCACCTATGCAGGGCAGCAGCACGATCTTCCCCGGCTCCCTTCCATTCCCTATTTACATGTGAGGTACACACTTGTGAATACAATTCCTTGCGTGTTCTGTAACAGTTCTAGGCAGCATTTGGGAGGGGGACACTGCAGCTGGCAGCTCTGGAGTCGCTGCAGCACAGCCTCAGGCTGAGCCCTGTGCTGCTGTGAAAGGCACTTTGCCTGGAGCACTGCCTCGGCTCCTGCGCCCTCAGGAAATGCTGGAGGTGGGAGAGGAACAGGTTTCCATGCAGAAGGATCGTTCCCAGCTGAACGTTCAGCAGCCACGAAATGAATTCATGAATGAAATGCCATTTCTGTACCAGGGCTGTGTTTCTAGGAAAGCACCGGGTACCCTGGGCCAAGCCCTCCCTGCAGCTCCGCTGGCCCTGGCACCCTCTGGCTCTCCCCAGCTGGGTTTAGAGTGAATGAGACTGCACCTGAAGGTGCGAGGCTGTGCTCGGGGCTGGAGTGGCACAGCAGGAAATCCCTGGGTGCAGTCCCTGAATGATGCACAGTTAAAAGCCAGCAGTGTCCTGGGAACACACCGGGCACAGTCACTGCATGCTCCCAGAGCCCTGGCACGCCTGGCAGCCCTGCCCTGCCCTGGCAGTGGGGTGTGGGTGCAGGGCACCCCGAGCAGCCCCTGTGCCAGACCCAGAGCTGGCAGCTCCCAGAACGGGGGTCAGGGCTTTGATCCCTCTGGGCTGCCCCTGAGGCTCTGCAGGACCCCTGCAGACCCCTGCCCACCCCAGGTCAGCTTACAGAGCCCAGGCAAGGTTTGTGGTGCCAAGCAAAGCAGAGTCAGGCTGGGCAGCAGCTCAGCACCCGGTGACCTCTGCTCGGGCCTCTGCCTGCCTCAGCAGGACAAGTCAAGCATGGGCGAGAGCCAGCCCAGCTGTTAAAGGGAAGGGAAAAATTCACCTGCTCAGCTCTGCCCAGCTGAGCAAAGCCTGGATCTGCCTTCATGCAAGACAACCCCTGCACGCTGAGCCATGATATTTATGTAAGAGAGCCATAAATAACTGGAGTTTTTCTCAGTTTTGTTATTAAAAAGGGGGAAAACATCACAGAGCACTGATCTGATATAGTGATAAAATCCAGAAAACTACAAGGTCAATTAAAACAGTGCAAACTCAGGAGTTTATGAGCTGCTCAGTGCAGTGGAACAGGGAGAGCAATAAAACAATTTCTGCTTGAGTGGACTGCCCACCCAAACACCATGACTGTAGCTCTGCAGAGTTACACAGCACAGAGTGATCAGCTTCATCTGTCAGTTAAAGCATGACGGTACCAGCCAAACTAATGGTTTTCCAAGCCTGAACTGCAAAGAAAAAAAAATCTAGTTTCTTAATACATGCCAAGAGAAGGATGAAAAAAGAAAGCTTTTCAATCATTACATAGACACATCCATTTCTTCCTACTCAGACAGGACTCCTCTAGTTTTGTTCTAGACCTAATTAGATTTTAAATGAGATTCCAGCACTTCTAATAGCTTATTCTGATTGTTCTTTTTATATCATGCAGGCACTGAATATTCATTGTGTTCATATGATTAAGTACCAAATCAATAGATATGACTAGTGGACCTGTTAGAACTCATGCTTTGCTTTATAAATAAAAAGAAAGAAGTCCTATCTGATGTAGAGTTCAGCCTTCCTCTTTGAAGAGTGGCTGTGACTGACATGGCTGGTGATCACAAAGAAAATGGGGAGAATGAGTAATTTAATGAAACTGCTGAATTTAGGATTAAAGTAACCAGAAGGGACTGTTACAATACGGGATGAGTTTCCAAGGCTTTACCAAGGAAAAAGAGCAATGTGACTTGAAACAAATGCAAAAGGTCACTGTTCTTACAGCAGCAAATCCTGGAATCTGTGCCCTGGAAATGGGTGCCTGGTAGCAGGAAGGGAAGGACTCAGCTGACCCCAAGTCAGCTGTGCTTATGGAAAACAAGTCAGTAGAGAAAAGAGAAAAAGTGTTTCTGCAAGTGCAAATCACACCAAGGCAAAGCAAACTCTCCATGTGTGCCCAGGACAAGTCTCCCAGCCAGCAAGGCCAAAGAAGGGAAGCTCGGGTGACGTTTCTGTGCCAGGGCACTGCAGGGAGAGTGTGTCCATTCCTCTGGCTCTCACCAGCAGAACCCCAGCAGCCAAGCCCTGTGCCCGCACTGCTCCCTGCCTGCCCTGCAGGGCCCCCCATCCGTCCATCCCCAGATCCCAGCAGAGCAGCGGGGCACGCAGCTGGCACAGCGCTGCCAGCCTTACCTGGGGTGGAGCACCTGGCTGGGGCACGGCTGCTGCGCGGGCATCGCCCCAGAGCAGCAGCAGCAGCAGCGCAGGGCAGCGCCTTGCTGGGCTGCCAGCCACTTCTCCCGGGCTCGGTGACCCAGGGGCAGAAATTCCAGCACAGCCAATGGCTTGGACATGGAAAGCAGCTGCAGGTGTGCCAGGAGAGGAGGAGAGGCTTCCAGTGTGTCTGTGCCCAGGGAACGGGCACCGCATGGCAGCAGGACACCAGCGTGCTCCTGCT